ATGCTAGAATTATTATTTCTTTAAATTATTTTCCTTGTTGACTTGAACAAGCAAAAAGAAAAATGAAAGTTTAATCTTTTCCTACCGGAGGCCAAAAAAGGCAACAGGAAATTTGTGATTTGCAAAATGCATGAGGATGTTCAACAGGGTGATGAATTATTGGCTTTGGGAATCCAGAAAAAAATATTCTATTTGACTTTACTGTGGCTGCATAGTACAGATAATCCTCGATTTACGACGGCTGCTTAGTAATTTATGATGCCCCCTCCCCCCATAGGTATAGGTAGTCCTCGACTTCCAACCACAATTAAGCTCCAGATTTTTGGTTGTTAAGCAAGACAGTTGCTAAGTGAGCTTTGCTCCATTTTACGACCTTCCCTGACCCAGTCATTCAATGAATCACTACCCTTGTTAAGTTAAGAACGCGATTGTTAAGCGAATCTGGCTTTTCCCATTAACTTTGTTAATCAAATGGTCACAAAAATGGATCACCCGTCCCTGGGACACTACTGCTGTTGTAAATTTGAGTCAGTTACCACGTAGCATTTAAATTTTGATTTCCTGACGACGGGGATTCTACAAACAACAGTCATAAGTGTGAAAAAACTACCATCAGTCACTTTTTTTCTACTGTAATTTCTTCTGGTGTAACTTTGAGCTAAACAAACTAAACTGCTGTAAGTCAAGGACTAGATGTACTTAAAATTGATTCCGATGGCCACACCTATCCCCTATATTTATAGCAGTTTGCAGAGTCCCACAATCACATAATGATAATTTCCAATGGGTTGAGGTTTGTTTGTTTTTTTTTGCCAAAAATGCATTCTGGTTTTCAGCAAAAAAAATATATATATAGCGAACAGTGAGTTCACTTAGAAACCTGGGTGTTTGCTTAATTTCTGCAACCGATGCAGAAAAAAGGGGTTAAGAATTGGTCCTATCACATGGCGAGCTGTTTTATGACCGTCATGATTAGTGACCGTAAATGGGCAGACTCAATTACTGCCATAAAATGAGGACTGACTACCTGTAGTCTTAACACATTTTGGAAGGTAGCAGATGAAGGAGATCAGAGTTACTCTTGAAAATAATTTAACCCCCCCTGGGGGAAGAGATGACTTGGAAGTGTTTCTCATATGTTGGGAAACTTCTGAGTTTCTGAAAAGAAGTTTTGGGTAATAAAGGGGAAACTTGGGCAAACTTTTGGCTTAAGATCTTTTGCAGAGTACAGCGATTGTGTTGTGATTCATTATGGATGGGTTTCCTTGTTTGTTTTTTCAGTGTGCTTGCTAAGGGCAGGGGGGCGGTGGGCAGGTGTTTAAACGAAACCTAATCAAATAAAATAACAGGTGAATAATCCTGCAAAATTGATGTTGGAAGGGAGGAAGAAAATGGAGGTGAAGGAAGGAGAAAAAGAAGGAGGAAATGAGGGAGGGAGGAAGAAAATGGAGAAGGAAGGAGAGAAAGGAGGGAGAAATAGGAAGGAGGGAAGAAAGAAAGGAAATGGAGCCAGAAGAGAGAGAAATAGGAAGGAAGCGGGGTGAAGGAGGAGGAAGAAAAAGAAGGAAATGGAGAAGAAAGAGAAACAAAAGTAGGAGAAAAAGGAAGGGGGAAGGAAGGAAAAGAAAGAAAAGGGAGGAAGGAGAGAAGGACGGGAAAGAAATAGGAAGGAGGAAGGAAAGAAGGAAGTGGAGAACAGAAAGAAAGAAAAGAAGGAGAAAAAGGAAGGGGGAGGAAGAAGAGAAAGAAGAGGGAGGGAGATAGACTGTCCTGCTTAAGCAGGGGGGTTGGACTAGATGACCTCTAAGATCCCTTCCAGCTCTTATTATTCTATGGAAATAGGAAGGAGGGAAGAAGGGGAAAGGAAATAAGGAAATGGAGAAGAAAGGAGAGAAAGAAAAAAGGAAGGGGAAGGAATGGGAGAAAGGGAGGGAGGGGAAGGAGGAGAGAAAGGAGAAGGGGAGGAAACGAAAGGGGAAAAGAAAGGAAACAGAAAGGGAAAGAAATAAGGGAAAGGGGAAAGGAAAGGAAAAGAAAGGAAAGGAAAGGAAGACACAATGGTTGCAAAAATTCATTGCCAGGTCTGGTTTATTTCTCACAGATTGTTTTCCTCCTCTTTGTGGACTTATTGGAGCCCCTCGTTGTCCATTTGACCCACAAGGAGAGATGGGGGTTCTCCCTCTTTTTCCAAAACTTGATGTGGCGGCCCCTCCAAATCTCAGAAGTTTTTAAAAGAGGGAAGGGGGAGCAAAGCAGCCCACCCACTCACACACACACCCTCAATCCCCAGGCACGCATTGTCGAGGGGTTGAAGGTTGCCATGGCGACCAGGCCCTGGCTGGGCCGTTATCTCTCTGGCCAAATGAAAGGGCCTGGTCAGGAGGCCTTCGTCCATCTGCTTCCAGCCGGGCCTGCTTGCTCCCTGGGATGTTCCCCTTTTATATTTTTCTTTCTCTCCCCAAAATACAGGTAGTCCTCAACTTAACGACCGCAACTGAGCCCAAAAGCTTCCTTTGCGAGACGGTTGTTAAGTGCGCTCGGCCCCATTTTACGACCTTTCTCGCTGTTAAGGGCCCGCGTTTTGATCACGTGACTGTGGAGATGCTGCAGTGGCCCTTAAGAGTGGAAAAAAAACAGTCATAAATTACTTTTTTTTCAGTGCCGTTGTAACGTTGAATGGCCACTAAGTGAAGTTTTGTAAATCGAGGACTACCTGTAATCCCCTTTCATGGGTCTCTGAATTGGTTGCATGGGACTTAAATTCCCAGAATTCCCAAACTGGAAGCTGAAAGAAAAGACCAATGTTTTTGGAGCTTGGCCCATTTAAGATGAGTGGACTTCAACTCCCAGAATTCCCCGCCCTGCATGCTAAAAAAATAGACCACTGTTTTTCAAGCTTGGCCCCTTTTAAGATGGACGGACTTCAACTTCAATAGCTAGCTAAGGAATTCTGGGAGTTGGTCCATCCATCTTAAAGTGGCTCGCGGAAATGGGACGCACAATTCCATCTCCGCGATCAGTGCACCTGTATCTGTCGCTCCCACACACGGCCCAGTTACAAACCACTCACCTCTGAAGTAGAAGACATCCTTCCAACTCTGTTATTTTGTTATTCTGATGTTGTTACCTAGTTCGGTAATGAAATGTCTACAAGAAAACCATCAAGCTCAGAGAGCATCAAGGACCCCATAGTTGTTGTTGCTTGAAGAGTGAAAAACCCCGGGACAGTTGGACAAAGTATGACAGTTGGTATGCAAAGTTGTTATTCAAGGGTCAGCTGGTGACCTCCGCAGTCTCTTTTCTG